CAAGTAAACTGCATCACAGCACGTGCGACCCCCCTGCACTGAAATGGTACAGGACAGAAGCGGAAGGTGGTTCTTAAAGAGACAGGCCAATTTCAAGGCGTTTAGAAGAGGAAGTGGTGAGAAAAGTTTATTTTCTATTTAAACAGAAAAACAGCATTTTAATAACAACTAAAGGTGACAGATAATTTATTATGGAATAGTATTTAAACATTATGCCTGAGAAACACATAATATTGCCCCTTTAAAATATAAAACTAACTGAATTCTAGCTATGTTGGTCTTGTTTAAGGTTAATTAGCTGTGGAGTCTTCAGGTCCATCTTGAATGACTCCAAAAAAACTGGTCTGTTGTGGCTCCAACACTTTCTGAATGCTTCATTAAAATCTGTACAGTGGTTTCTCAGAAATTTTGCTAACATGACTGACAACTTAACACACACACAGGCAAAAACAACCACACTCACTCATCTTTAAGTTTCAGTCAATACATATTTTTTCACCTGACAATAAAAGTGAAATGATACGATCTTGTTCTTTAATCCAACAGGAAGTGCTTTAAAGAACTGGAGCTGGAATCTGAAAACCACAGCATCACTTTTCAWCTCATTTTGATTCAATTTGAAACAAACAAGAACAGCAAAAGTAAAAACAAATTTCCTCTCAGGGACTTCAATTTTAAWATTAAAGGGAAGTGAAAGAGACAAATGTGAAGTTATGACGTGTTTGAAGAAAATAACCCACAGCTTCCACAGAAACTGCCCATGACTCTTTTTTTTTACCAAATGTTCAAATTTTACAAAGAATACCATCATAATTGTGTACGAACCGACAGCAGAACATCTCCAAAAGTGTTGTAGCAGTTACTAAAAATGACTTTATGGGTAAAAATATTAAACGATTTTGTAAAACTATAGGGAAAAAATTGTGTATATATTTACTTTCATCCTCTGGCTGATTGTTGGACAATTATTGGTTGGCTCATGAAGATTAGCAGTGAGTGCGGCTAATTCTCTGACCATAACAGAAATGGAAGATGAAACCTTTATTTATTTTGGGTTAGGGTTATATTTTTCTCAGTCTTGAGACTGGTGCTCYTGTTTCCAACTAAATTAAATAATTGCTGACAGAGCTATAATCCACTCCTGATGTCGTCATCGGTGCCACATGTGCCAAATCCAGAGAGGTTTACATCATGTTTGTACCCTTAATCAGCAGTGGCTCCACTCCTTTGGCAGTGAATGAACCAGACATTTTGTACCTGGAATTCAGCTTCAGCAGAGTTATTTTRTCAGTCAGTGACAGTATGAACAGGACATGATGCTGGTCAGACAGCATCAGTCAAACCTGTGGACAACATGATGGAGATGTTGTGTTTCTGTTTATTTGGTTCACTGTGAGGGAGATTACACACGTTTCCATCCTTTTTTCTTGCATTTTCCACATCTGTTTCTATTTTAAAAAATCAACTCTGTATGTTTCACAATGATTTTAGTGTTTTAATATTCAGATGTGAATGAAACCCTGTCAGTAAAACAGTCTGCCTTCATGACTCCTACCTCCCAAACTGGAACTTGCTGTTCTCCCCAAGGAGGACCTCCTTGTGCCTCCTGCGACCCGAGTTGCGACCACCGGTCACCACGGCAATGAAACTGACCACAGCCAGAGTCAGGCAAGTCAGCGGGGCCACTTTCATGTTTCACAGGTCTCCCCGCCAAAACGGACACAACGGCAGCATCCCCTGCCGCAGCGCGTTCCCTGCTCCACCTCCAGGACTCCGCTGTCAGAGCGTCCACCACTAAAGCCGGGTCTGTGGGCTCGGCATCCCGCGGCGGCTGGGTTGTCTCCACCGGCTCCACCTCCAGAAAGCTCCGGGATGTGACCGAGACTTCAGAGCGCCGCGGGGCAAAGGCATGGGAAGRTTTTGGAGGGTTATTTTTTTCTCCTCAGAGGTCAAGTTGGTGCGGCTTAGTCTCCWGCTGGGATGTCCTCCAAGAGTCTTCTTCTCTCATCCGCCCATTCCTCCTGTCCTCTCCCTTTGAATCTGTCCACKTTGTCTCCGGTTTTGTGGTTCCACCTCTGATTAAAATCGATATGAATCTATTCCTCGCGACGATAGAGGAATGACACTAATTCCACTCTAATCCTCTTATCCACAGCCACAGCAATCTTTCACTAACCTACAAACAGTCCCACACACACTTTCATCAGTAATCAGGATTTTCTCTGAGGGACAATGAAAAAACAGGCACCTGCTCCGATTATTTGTGGTCCGGGCACACCTGCAGTGTTTCAGCCTGGCCTGCACGCGCTCAGACTTTTTTTTTCTATAAAAGGGAGGAAATAAATCAGGAGTTTRGAAGCTGAGCAAAGCGTGAACGATTGTCAAGATTGGCCGAGATTTAATCTAACCTGGAATGAAGATAAAACAATCTAATCCTCCTCAGTTAACRCCTCTGGAAGACTTAATCCTTCTGCCTGAGAGTAACAAGTCATACTTCTCACAAAAACATTTAAAGGTGTTTAGTTTAAGTTTGAAGGAAAATTTTTAAAGAATCTGAATTTTATTGTCAGTCACACACAATATCAAGATGCAATGCAGAACGAAATTTGCAGTTTAGAACATTCGTCCGGAGAAACACACACATGACAAACATGGGGGAACGAATGTCCAGGGTCTTAAGCAACTTAGTGCGCTACCTTTGCAGTTTAGAATACATACACAATAGGAAGGGTGAGTTTAAATAAAGCTTTGATCCTGTGTTTTATACAGAAARCACACAAACATATGCTCAAAAAAACTACTCTGCTCAGCTAAGGAGGGGAGGGGGTTGGGGGGGTCAAACACATGGTATGGGGAGGGGTTCAGCAGAGCCGGTGACATCCAAGGGTAGTACTGTGTGTTGGAACCAATCAGAAGACCTCCAGAGTCCAAACAAGTTGTTATCAGTCAAAGCACAAGTCACWRGAGTTCAGTTCTCTGTCTCCACTCAACGCAGCCTTCCAACCGATCCGAGCTCGGGTGAAACGGGTAGGGATGGTGGGGAATCAAGGCTTTCTTCTCACGTCCCATTCCAGGGAGGTTTTATCRGCTTGCGTCCAAGGACACAGCTGCAGGGATCCAATGATAAACAATTGTTTTAGGGCCAAGCAGCCTGATTTCACTGTTTTGAGTCTTAACTGCGCCTCTGTGTTGCGAAAAATGCCAATATTCCAGATTTGTTTACCACCTCGCCTCTCCCGTATGAACCTTCACCCAGTTGTAGCCTCACTCCTCACGAGCACGCTGCTGAACTGTGATCCTCGTCAGAACCACATCCAGTCTGCAACCTATGTGACGGCTGTGGTGTTGTGGTAGAGCAGCCAGCTTGGGACCCGGAAGTCTTAGGTTCGACTCCCCGCCATGCCCACATGTTGTGGTGTCCTTGAGCAAGACACCCAACCCCCAACTGCTCCCCGGGTGCCTCACATAGCTGCCCGCTGCTCCACTTGGGTGTTTCTCACGTGTGATGGGTCAATTGCAGAGCACAAATTTTGTCATTGTCTGGGAACATACACTGATGACCAATAAAGCACCTTTACCTTTATATCCCCAAGCATTTGAGTCTGTGCATTTACAGTTCGGGAGATCCCATCCAAGGTCCCTGACAGCTTTTGACATTCCCGGACTGCTGTCAGGATCGTTTTCATTTTCCGATAAACCAGGACTCCCCCACAGCCGATCAGCAGGAATCCGATTATCATAAATCCGAAAATAAACACATCTTCAACATCCTCGATGGAAAGCGGGGCCAGGCAGACRAGGTTCCACCCCCAAGACCCAGAAACTCTGCCCGCCGCGACACTTCCACTGGGACAGCTGCGCTCCCCTCGCTCCAATCTCAGTGTGGAAAAAATTGTGTYGATTGCATTCAGAGACCAGTTGACCAAATCCATAATTCTTTTGTYATCGAATGATGGGTAGAAGAAAGGCTTGACACAGCTGCGAAGCAGGGAAAAAGGGACAGGTTCGGGAGAGAGAGCAAAAAGCATCCGACTCCTCTGAAGGACAAGCAGAAAAAAAATTGCCATGCGAGTATCACTTTAAATTACTAATAAATAGTAAATGAAGATAATAATTAATCTGTAACCCTTACTAAACCATTATTTAGTGCATTAGATACAAAAAGGTGATAGCTAATTGCTTCCTGCCAAATAATGAAACAACATTTATGCTTTCTGTTTATTTGTATTCTACATAGGTTTATCCAACATTTTTAGTAAGATACTTGCATGAAAATACTTAATATAAGTTTTGTTTGTACAAAGTTTGTTTTGGCATACAAAGTTATTTAATTAAAAAATAGTAATCTGAATAATTTATCAGAAAAAATGAAAGTACAGGAGTAAGGCATTGATAAAGTTGTTTCTGTGGCTGTTCAACTTTGATTGTATGCAGAAATAAGTAAGAAAAGTGCGAAAATTGTAAGTGGTACAGTATTCGAGAAAAAGCATGTTTGGGGAGAAAAAAATGAAAATGCCCTCTCTCTGTATTTTGACATCATTAAGGATATTCTTGCCACCTAGTGGCCGTGTATGTGTATTAATGCGTTTTTGTTAGACTGTGTGGTCAAAGACAAAAGTAGTTAAACTGAGAAAAAATGTTTTAAAATATATCCAGAGTGGTCCAGATGGGGGTTTAATTGCTTTAAAACAACCTGAAAAGGAGGGAAAATTCAAGTAYGGAAAAATAGTTTTATTTCATAATTAATCTGTTGGTGAAAACCAACCTTCTAAAACGGGAACTAAATTCATTTCAACGTCCTTCATTTGACTTGTGTTCTGATAAATAAATAAAACTATTGAACATTTTGCACAAAGTTTTTGTGCATTATATTTGCTTGTTTCACCTTAAAACAACTTTTTAAAAAAATAAACTGAGGACCTAAATGAGTGTAATTACATATCTGATAAACCTACAAACTAAAGCAGTGTGATGTCAGAAGGTTAAGCGTTAACTTCCTTCATAATAACTCAAAAAGAAGTTAGCAAAAACTTAAAAAAAGACAAAGAATTCAAACAGAAATGAAAATTTTACTAAAACCATATAGCACTAAGGCTGAATTCCATTTCATATTTTCCTCCTTAGCTCTGTGTGTTCTGTAGTCCACACAGAGGGGTCGGGGTTTGCTCAGCATTTTTTGGGATTTAGGAAAGATTTGAGCATTGGTTCAAAGAAACTCAAGCTTCATGGTAGAGGACCRAAAGGAAAGCCACTGTTGAGGTAAACTCATATTAAACCTCTAGAGCCTTCTAACAATCTAAAGAAACTCATGTTTGCATATATTGTTTAGAATTATATCCAACCAAATGTATTTTTGATCWYTTTTTGAGACTGATACACTGATCAAGGGCAGAATGTGYTAGATTATTAATCTTGTTGASTGGGAAAATGTATCCTCATATCAAGAGGTCTCACCATTATTTCATTTAATTTGAKTATCTTCTCAAATGAAGGTAAATAATCTGCCAGTGCAGKAAGACAGTGGAATAACTAATAATTGTATTTAACGAGTAACARCCAGATTATTTAGTCTGGGGTGTTTATGTGTTTAAATTTCACTGTAAGGTAAAATGTTGCATGTCAAACTGACGATCAGTTTATAACAATAGAAACAGGCGCAGTGTATTCAGCCTGCTCACTGCTCACAGGCCTTCAGACGTAGGCGGTGTTTCAGGCTATTTCAGCTTGCAGCTGCCAGACCAAACGTGTCGATCTGTTTGTTCGTCAGGAATGCAAGAGCTGTTCTTTTATCTATTTTAGGCTTATCAGGAGAAAAGAAAGCCTTGAATAAAGGTCACTCACCTACAGCTGTAACTGTTTTACTGAAGGGAAACAAAAGGCAAATTAAACTTTGAGCTTCACTTTTAGGTACTCGTATTATACGTGAAAAAGACCACTTCTATTCTGTTCAGCAGTTTAACTCAGTGGTTTAACAGCGTCACTGTCAAATATCTAAATATCTGGCATACAA